TATTATTATTATTATTATTATTATTATTATTATTATTATTATTATAGTGTATTCTGGAATAACGCTAGTTCTTCCCATGTGCGCACAATTTTCAGTGAACCATAAGTCAATCTGATGATTGACTTTTGGTTCATGATCTAAGAAGTTTTTCATTCGTAAAGGTATTGAATGCCACAAAATTTGAACGTTTTTCCTAAGTTAACATTTTCATCGCTAATTAATTATTTCGCAGGGAGTGTATTCGTTCGCTGATTCCGGCAAGATCCCATGTTTTCGTCTCTTCTTTGGTAGAGGAATCGTGTACATTACTAATCACAACCTGACATTACACCTATTACCTCCCTCCAACTATTCTAGGAGGGACCTCCACATATTTGGGGAAGTCTCAAGTTCACCCCAATTTAAACATATTTCTCATCACTTAGGCAAACTCGCCAAAGCGTGCCACGAGATATGCTACGATTGTTTTGAAGGTAAAATGTGATTGTTGCCAGCATTGTTAATTTGTACGTGCCGTTCGGAGTCGAACCTAAATATCTTAACGTGCCGTGCTATTCAGCGCTGGATGAGGACTAGGGAGATCGTGTATCAAGAAAAGTGCGCGAGTAATACACAATGAAAATGAAACACCCTTGCGTCTGGCCAACGCATTGCCCTCCGCGGGCAGAATTGGCAACTCAACCTTTGTCGAGGTCCCTCACGGAAGTCGTAACAGAGAAGTTATATCCTGCTCGTGTGACCAAACTTTCGGTTTCACACACGGGTTTGTCGTAAAGTGAGCCCCGAAAGGAGATGGGTTAGGGCAAAGCCTTCGGAAAGCTAAAAACTTACGTGTCAGTTCTGCGAAACGTAAGATCTCCCGTGGTATGAAACTACACGCTTTTCCGGTTCAGCCCCCATAAAAATAGTTACGGGGGTAAACGTAATGGGTGTCCAATGCACGAAATTTCAAAGTGGAGTTGGCGTTGGCGTTTGGCTATGCGTGTCGCAGTTGATGAAGCTTCGACCTTTGACCTAACGATAAACAAAAACATCCTTGAGTCGGTCTAACGCACAATTTCCTATGCATTTTATCCCAAAATAATTTTTACTGTTTGTTGCAGTTTGTTATGAAAACAAAAAATGAATTCAACACAATGTATTTAAGCAAATTACATAAATCATGAAGACTTATACTGAGAAATTTATACTAAAATATCTTTAAAATAATCATTTTGCAATTTCTTAGTGTTTTCACGGCATAAAAACTACGCACGCTATAAAAACAACCAGACACTTTTCAACTAAGAAACAGGTGCCCTCTCACCCGTGAAGTCCCGTCTTTCTTTCTTCACTTTGTTTCATCGATAGGGCGGGGGAGGGGGGTTAATGAAATGTCTTTTATTTTCAATTTATAACAATGCCTTTTAGAATAGAAGATAACTTTGTGTAATGACAATAGGAAACAACTCTTTTTTATGAATTTTTTTCATTTTTCGTCGATATCGACGAATAATTCATTTCTTACCCTTTCCCTTTGTTTTAAAGCATTTTCACTGATTTTAACGATTTAAACATCATTTAATTCTCTCCAGAATTCCTGAGTTGCCTATTCAAATTCTTCGCTTAGAAATTGTAATGTCAGCTCTTGTGAGTTTGTAAACCAAGATACCTGTAACGCCTATCACTGCCGGTTCGGCCGATTTCAGGATAACTAAAGGTAGAGATTTCTTGCTAAATAACAGTCCAAACCAAAAGTTTGCAATCTGAGTTTCCTTGAACGAAAGGAAGAAACCTCGAATACATCAGCAACATATCCAAGATGAGTTATTCATCTAAACTGGTTTTGATAAAAAAAAATTACGTCAATTTTCTTTACTTTTAGGGCATTTTAAAAACATTTAAAGAGCATTTTATTGCACATATTTGGCGTTGTTTTAGCTCATTAAATTCTGCTTCCTTATCATCGCTATTGTCGGGTTGTGATTAGTGCTACAACTCGGGGGGGGGGGACTTTCGGCTTCCAACGTATTTGTGGTTGGGTTTGCGCCACAGCGCTCGCGGACACGTGATGGACAACGCGGCCAAACACGCGGGCGCCGGCGTGTTGACAGAGGAGCGGCGATTGGCGGGCGCGAGGTCACGGGACCTCTGCCCCCGCCGCCGCTCATGAATGGTGCACTGACTCCGCCGCCACGACGTTGCGAAGGTTTCAACCTTCCTCGACCTGACGCCTTTTTATCTCAAGCACTTCCTCCGTACGAATGGAGTAAATTAGCTGTTTCGCCGGTCCAGATGGCCGAGATCGTTAGGGCAGTAGGGCCGTAGCGATCTCGGACCGCAGGATCGTGAGTTCAAGTCCATGTCTCGGGCATGGTTGTATTTGCGTTCGTCCTTTCACCCCCTATCATCACCACATCATGTCTCCTTCACAGTTACCGAATCGTTAAATGCAATGGAGGTCGCTAATGACCTAGATGTAACCATAAAAAACAAACAAAAAATACGTTTCATTGTAAGGCTCTGTGAGTATTGTTGGCGCCCAAGAAGTGTGTCGCATGTTAAAAATTGCCATGTTGCAGGAGAGCGGCTTTAAACTTGCTGTTAGCAGAGCTTAAACGGACGAAGAAAAATTATTTTACTCTATATAGAGGCTGTCTATTAAATTATCTTCACGATATATCTGCAAATAATTTTTTCAAATTAAATATTTTCTGATACAGCATACATAGCCACTTTACAGAATTGTTTGGTTGTGATACATATATGAACATAATAATACACAGTAAAAAAAAATAAGAAGGAGGGTGGCCCCACTGGGCTTCTCAATTGAAAATCAGGGTGAGTTGGAAAAACTGGGTAGTCAGAGGTGATCCTGCATCGAGGGCTCACCTGCGGAGCACCAGTTGCTCACCCTGTCTCAGGGAGGTCTGAGTCAGGGCCAGCAACACCCCAGCAGGGCGCCTTGGTAATACGAGGGCAAGGCACTATAAAATTAAATTTCTAAACATACTTCTTCCCAAAAATAAAAATAAAATAAAATTTCTGATATGTCGTTTTTCTCTCGCGCCGACAATACCAGATAGAGATCAATTATTGTTGATGCAGACTAAACACGTGTTTAGGCTCCCTTGCTGGTTAGAAGCCAGAAATAATTTAAAACGAAATGTTTTATTAGTTTATAAGTAAAAATACGTTTTTTTTTAAATTTGCAAAACTTGTAGTGATTGACTTATCTCTCATCTTAGCCCTCGTAAAAGAGTCAACTCACTACATCGAGAAAACGAAATGACATCTTCTAGGCTATTTCTATGTTTTTCTGTATTTGATACTTTCAAGGTCCACTTGATGGTTCACTATGCATATTTGGCTTCGAGTCTCCAGTCTGCGTACACGATGAACATAAAACCACCTTGAGTCTGGGAAATGAATAATTTTCAATACATTTTATGCAAAATAATTTGTTCTCCGATTTTGCGGCGGCCTGATTTGGTTCCACTGCGCTCTTTGGCATCATCTAGAGTATTGTCCGGTGAGGGGAGGGGGATGTTAAGGTACGAAATTCGTTAACTTTTCATTTGCATTGCGTAAACATTCTTAAGGAGTCTTGCTTATATCCCTGAAGATGTTAATCAGGCTTTGATATTAGAGGTGACAACCAAATTTATAAGCGCATCTAATTTATCAACTATATTCGTTTTTAAAATTGGTTAGAGAATAATTATTTTTCTATGAAGTTCGTAAGCTTCAACTGACTTCTGCCTCTTATTCCCTCAGAATCTACAGAAAATCTTCAAATATTTTTCGAGACGTCTGATCGAGGAATTTCTCTTACACTAATTAGAATAAGAAAAAGAGGCAACCTTATATTTAGTCAAATTTTCATAGCAATTTTTTCTCGATTACTTGAAAGTGGTGAAATTACACGGGTCTAGCATTAGTGAGATTCGAATGTTATTGTTCTCTCACCTTACAACCAAATACAATACAAAATACCGCATGTTGGAAACCTTTTATTAATTGTGCATCTGTTTTATGTTCCATTGCACAAGCCAATGATCTCTCCGAATAGGTGTTCAAAGCGTTACCCGCTCCCTCTTGCGGGCGCAAGGTGATTCATAACAGTCTATGGCAGTCTGCGATGTTAACATCGCGTTGTGAATACGGGTTGGGAATTGCAAAAGCTCTCAGCGTGGATTCGAAACAGATTTTTTCTCCTACGTTCACATGCAGAATGAATCGACGGAGTGTTGAAAGTATGAAATTACTGTAAGGATGAATATTTCCTGTGTAGTATGTTATAAAATACCTTGAAGTAGGTGGTACTATGAACATCACACTGATTTTAGGAAAACGTGGAATATTAAAAGAGGACTGCTGGAACTATAAAGGCTTGTTTGGGGTTCAGGACATCGCTACAAGATTCGTGAGAAAGGTAAGACTTTCTGACAATTTCACCAACATTCGTCAAATCTGTGTGGACGATCGTTATTTTTGACGAACGTCAAAATATTGACGCATGGCGTATTTATGTGCCAAGAAGTTGACGACAAGGTATTGGAATGCCTTTGGAATATTAATTATTTTTGTTTTGTATTGTTTTCTGGTGCATTTTATGTTTATTTGCAAGTAACTTTTGAAGAATTCAGTTTCTATTGCATTTGTTGGGAAACAAATACACACCTCTACAATAATATAAAACCGACAAGAAATATTTTAATTTGTATAAATTGATAAAAAATGCGATCTTGGTATTGTGTCTGAAACTGCTAAGCGATTTTTTTTTCGTTTTATCAGCTGCAAAAATAGTGTACAAACTTCTTTTTGCAATGTACGTACTGTGCTATGTGTTTAATATTTTGTGCCTGTATTGAGGCTAGTATTTTAAGAATGACACACACGTAAGATTATTCAAGAAGCAACTTGCGGATAACTTTTTGCGTTACATTTCGCAAAACTGTAACGAAATCTTGACATTTTTTCTTCTATTAGATTTAAAATACCAATTTCTTTATCCTGATTTTAAAATGGAAATTAACTATTTCACTCAAAGAATATCAGTCACCCAAAACCCGAACCGATTACACAATATTGATGAATTTTTTTAAATTTCACGCAAGTCAAGCCCAAGTGACACCAAGGGATATTTTACGTTTCTTTCATACGAATGCATAATGCATCTTATTATTTAACCTGCCCCCGTTCTCGAATCAACCCCCAAAGCCCCAAGATTGAATAACGAAAGCGAGGACGACAGATGAAAGTCGCGGAATCGAACGCATTCCTTCTCCGTAGTTTGTACTTGCGTGGTTGAATATCGAGTTTAATTTTTTGACAAGGGGCTCAATTAATTTTGTGCGTTTGTACAGCATTTGTTTCAATCATGAGAAATGTTTAGAATTCCTGAGAGAATACAAATTTGTGCATAAAAAATACATTTTAAGAATAACCATGCGCTGTGTATGTAGCGATGTTCGATTTGCAAGAGTTTTTTTAAAATTATTTTTCTTTATATTTTCAATTCTTTTCGCGTCATTTTAAAAGCCCTATTAATGATTAATATAAATTATGATTCCTCGATAGTGAGGGAGCATTAATTTATCTATTGCTTCTTCCGTATGCATTAAATTCTGTGAATTCTAACAAACTAAACAGCAAGAAATGCGTTGGCAATTCTGGGCAACAAGTGTTGCACATATTTAAAGTTGTTTTATGTTAACGGTTGAGGTCGAAGCCCGGAGACTCGTCATAAAATTGGACACACGTAGTTAAGAGTCAACTGCGCTTTCAAAGTACTATTGGTCATACGGTGCCATATCGTTCACTTATTTATGCTGTCGTTCTCAATTTTCTAGCAGTATTGAGGCTATTCTTTCTCGTGAGTCACAATAAGGGGTAAGAACCTAACTTCTTGGATAGCTTTCGGTTTCATTATTTAATGTAGTTTTTGACAGATACAGTTGAGAAACTATCTAAAATTTTTTTTCCTTAAATATTCCTCTACTTGAATAGGCAATAGCTTTGAAGGTTGACCCTACTTCTCTTTGCGTATTTAAAATTTAGGAGTGCATAGTAAAGTAAATCCGATACTTTTCCAAATATTCGATGCACTTCTAAATATGACGAATAGAATGATAATAAAATAGGGATCTTTTTAATGCTCCTTTTCACCTTGGATCCATTACTTGGTATAGTGATTCTAATAAACCTTGTTTTTAACAAGCATTACTCGTAGTTCGCATGTCTCTGCGTCTGCCGTATCCGCTCGAAAGTAGATAAGAGCTCTAAGTTACTTCTCGATATTTTGGGATTATTATTTTTCCTCATATCATGTTTAGTATCTTCACACTGAAGGGAGTCTTTCTTACTGGTCGTTTACAGAAATTTATGATCTAAAAAACTACGCGAGTGGGCTGTGTACGATATGTGGTACAGTATGGAGAGGTATAACAGATAAAAACTGAAAAATTGTTTGCATTGGCATAATTAATGTACTTAACTGCAATTCAAAGGAAAACAATAAGCGAAGGTTAGAACCTCTGTAGCTCTGATTCAAGAAAAACTATGTTGAATCTTTTCTCTTTAGTTTGCGATAAATACAAACAGACCTCTTTTGTTTTGCCTCACAAAATACTTAAAATATTTCTGAAGGCGATAAGACAAAAACAAAAAAATGCATCTTTGCAAGCCACTAATTGGTGAATAAGTGTGTACATGAAAATAATTTGATAAATATCAAAAGCGAAACAAATATTTCTATAATAAGAATAGTGTTTGTTTTACTCGATCGTTGTAATTATCTTTTAAGACAAGCGCGAACTAGTTTTTTTCACAGAATCCCTTTTGTGCGCGTTTCAGCTTTTGTTTATTTCCATTTTAGGTATTGATACATATAAATCGGCTCTTATCATAGACATTCATGTGACTTTGTTGGCTATCCTTTTTGTATTATATTCACTGAAGTATAAACCCAACTTCTTACTCTAAAGACTAGTGAATCTAACGAGATCAGTACCTACTGAAGTTGTACTTTTGAAGTGATCAGACATGGCAATTGAATTATTTAAAAGCGATTTTCAATATTCTAGTTATTAACGTCATTAGGTCAACCGACAGCAAAAAATAGATGCGGCTGAAGTTTGTAAACCGAGACGATAGCAGAGTATTATAATCAACCGAGTTTATTATTTTTACTACCGGCCGTATGTTCTCCAATATTTTTCCTGATACCATCTTATCAGAAAAAAATCATATAGACGAGAAATTTCATATCTCGGAATAAGTACATCCGTTCGCAACCTATACATCTTACAACTCATTTGTTTCGTTTGTTTTTAACGGACGGTTGATTGTTAAATCCCTTAACGGACGCCGGGCGTTAAGAGCGGCGTTTCATTTCCCTGTTTTATTGCGTTAAATAGACATTAAAACAGAACAGTATTATGAGAAAAATACGGGACTTGAAATTTCTGTGGCTCGAGCGAGCTCACAATCGCTCTGCTCACGTACCAGGAGTAGGTTCGTTGTATTTACGTTGCGTATGACAATGCGTCCTTGGTGGCTGTCCAGAGGCGCTGTGCCAGTGCCACGTGACTCGCTTTTTTGGTTGAAAGCATTGCCGACTCGTGAGAGTTATAACATGTTTATGCTACATCCAGAAGCATTTACCATGTAAATATATTTACATAGTTATATGAAAATATAGAGGTTTCTTTTGTACAATTACTTTGAGTCATAATCGAATAGGAATTGTCTTGCATTAACTGCAAATCAGATTTGATCTGTGCGTGTATTGAAGGCCTAGTTACACGGCGTCGTTACCTGGTAGCCATAACGCTAAACCCTAGAGCCTTGTCGATAATAAATTATTGGCTGCGAGCTGAGGGTAGGAGGTCATTGAGGGGCGAATAGATCAATGATATGAATCATCACAGACTTGTGGTCGTGATCACGGCCGACAGACCAATCACCACACGAATGGCCTAAAGATTGCTTTCACACATGCGATGAGATGACAATGCCCCAGCGGACAGTGATGAGCAAATGTTGGAGAAGTGAGCACATTTTATGAGAACGATGGTAATTGAACACGTATGGCATTTTATTAAGTAGAAATACTTTTGTAGAATATAAGGGAGACACTTGAGTCTAGACTAACCGTAACTGTATTTGGTGCGAAATGCTTAGGAAATTTTGTTCGACGTGACTCAAGGATGTTTTGTGTTAATCGTGGAGGCCAAATGGCGCATCCTCACCGTCGACTTGGAAACGAGACAAATTGGCCGTATCAAATGTCTAATTTTTTCCTCCTAAACTATCTTAACGCACTTGCCTTACCACGTACGACGCTTTGAATCACCAGCGATTGTTCAGTGCACCAAGAAAGTCTCTCCGCTGTGACACCAGTGGCAGTTCTAGCAACAGAAATTTAATCGTTTATTTCGGAAACACGTCAAACGCCAAATTTCGCATTTCGAGAAAACTAAGAGAGAGTGTCCTAGCGTTGTAGGTTGTTTTTTTTCAATTTCAAAATATTTTAGTATTAAAGCAGTTCATTACTGAATAGTTATCATGTAAATATTTTTTTACTGATACCATTGTATTTAAAAAAATAAACTCTTGCACTTGACGGGTTTCTGCAATAAATTATTTATTTTGATTTGTAATATCATTTTTACGAGTATTAGTTACTTGTAATGGAATTGTGATTGTTGCTATTTCTTGTTTATTACATGTTTGCATATTACTTGTCCCCCCCCCCCGCAATGGTCGGCTGGATTGGTCCCTGTTCCTAGCTGCACTGCATAATCGCATTCCACACGTGTTCCGACTACTCATTCGCTTTTGTCGAGAACATACGTGCGCCTGAGAGCGTGGGGCGAAGCGTGGGCGGGGCGGGGTTAGCGGCCGCCGGCCACGGCGCACGTGCGCGGCCGTAAATTCATCAGCGCCAATCGCCGCACCCCCCCCCGCACCACCGGACGCCAGACGGCGCACCACGCCCCCCTGCGCTCACCCATTCGTATTCATCTGTCTCATCGCCGAAGAGATGGCCGCTGCAGTCGCGGAGCTGACAGGCAAGGATAATGATTTATTCGGGAGTCGCTTGATTGCTACGCAACAAAATGTTTGGGAGATGAAAAAAATGACGATGGCGACGATGATGGCGACGATGACGATGGTGACGATCATGATGACGATGGCGACGATCATGATGACGATGGCGACGATCATGATGACGATGGCGACGATCATGATGAAGATGGCGAGATCATGATGAACGATGGGCGAGATCATGATGGCGGATGCGACGATCATGTGGCGATGGCGACGATGGAGATGGCGATGGGACGATGGCGATTGGCGATGGCGACGATCATGATGACGATGGCGACGAGAGTATGGCAGACGATGACGAATGGGACGATGACGTGGCGACGATGACGATGGCGACGGCGACGGCGACGAATGGCGA